GGTGAGTGAAATGGAAGTTTTTCGGTTCTAAACACAAACGATGTTTTCTCTTGGTTGGCAAACTATAGTCTCTCGTTCGTTTCCTTTTTAAGTTTTTGTTGCTCAAGTACTGTTGAATTCAGTAATAGGAAAAAACAAAACTGTTAAACTCTTTGAGTTAGAAGAACGTACTGTGTGTTGGTTTAGTTTGACGTATTATAACTGTATCTATCGATTGGTTATTATAGTCATGATTATTAAGATTTTTACAATGTCTATGACTAGAATGACAGTGCGCGCCTGTATGTGTTCGCGCTTCTGATCATATTCATATGTTTTTGTAGCTTTGGTTAAAACGGTTGACATCAATAAATTAGCAGCAGAGATTCTTTTCCATACGCTTGACGTTATAACATCACCCCGACACTCTATTTTCACAACAGCTAACTCTTTTGTACCCAACTAGGAGGGGGGAAGGAAATTTTTAATCTCACCTTCTCTTACATGGAATCGGAATGATGCTCTCTCAACTTGCAAAGCAACCTCACGGGACATATTCAGCGGATAACTTCGTCGCGCACCGACGATCATTTTCAAGAAACATTTGGCGGTCATCGGCGAGTTGCGCAACTCTACCGAGCAGGATAGCTTCAGTTTTCTCAACTTATTTTATTGTGTGAATCAGCCACCGTTGAGACATTCTAAGGCTGACCTTTCGAAGTATTAGCTTCTCGTTAGAGCGAATCCAAAACGGCAGCTTTTGAACCTCTCTACGGTGGCCAATTCTCGTCAATATACCAGTTGATGAAACCAATACCACTGACAGATGCTGATCCGGTGATTTTAATCATCTCATCTATAAGTCGTTTTGAGATATTTCCCTAGTGGGTATCGCAAAGATACTTGGATGCAAGTGTTGTTTTCTGACAGAAATCCACGATCGGTTACAGGCTTTTCTCATGACAAAGAATGAAACAAGTCACTCTGTTCGTTATCAAATAAAAGATTGCATGAAGAATGTCATGCAACCGCGGGGAACTACGTTTGGACATATTGAAAGGAGAACTAGCTTCGAACATAAGAATTTTTTCTTTTTTTCCTTTTATTTCTTTGCGATATTAGTCTTCTTGGCTCATACACCCGTTAAAATTAACAATCAGTGAAATCAAACAGAGGACGATGACGATCCTCTCTTCAAAAATATCTAAACTCGAAGGCTCATTTCCCTAATTACTTTCAAATCCAAACGACTGCAGACTCTTCACCCAATAACGTCATGAAGGCTAGCACTCATCGCGAGCCTTGATAGCCGCACTAAAAAAAAAAACGCCAAAGTACTCCGCTAAAGACAATAAAAGAAAAAGATGTCAGAGGAGCAAAAATCTACAGAGGCATCGCCTATGTTTATACTTTCTGTTGTCGTTTTAAATCAATTTTTAGCTTCTACCTTCTTTAATTTCTTTTATTAGATCAAATGCCACTTCCACTCCTACTACCCTAACAAACTGATATTGTGAGCTTTCGGGTATTCCTCGGCTTAATCGAAGGGGACGCTTAATAATTAGTTAGTGCAGTAATAGGACAGAAAATTAAAGTAACAGGTAACGTACATGAAGGAACTCTGCAAGGACATGGAGATAGAAACTGAACAGTAACGGATTAGAAATTAATCTCGAGTTAAAGCTAAAAAAGAATTAACAAAGTGTCAATAGATACAGGTTTTCCTTGCATCCCTTAGTATTATGGGAGGAAGCGATGGAGAGGGCGTTCTTTCGAGAGGGGCGCTTGTTTGATAGCCCGGGGGTGAAGGCTCACCCGGGGAAGAGCGCTTATGAAAACGTGGGTGCTAATTTGATGAAGTATGGTATGTTACGGGCCAAATGACCACTCAAGTGATACCTTCATCGTGCATCTTTCCGGGTAATCACTTTATTCCTCTTCTAAAAAAACATCTGCGCCTTTGTGTCCTGCTTTGTTTTAGCAAAGGAAGATGTCTTCGCCACTAGACCTTGAAGAAGCTCGCGATTTACTCAGCAATGCAGATTTTGAAGCGATATGCAAGCAAGCTGAAGGCCTCAACGAATACAGTTCACCAGGAAAGTGTAGCGTCTGATGAGGTGGCGAAGAAGTTCGAACA